GAGGAGATGAAACATTTCTGTCCAAATCACTGTTGAGGTCCTCCATAAAATTAGGGTTATTTCTCAAAATAAACGAGGGAGCTGTTCTCTAACTAATAACATTTGTAATGTGGATGGTGTCGAGGACATAATTCTCTGAATCAGGTTCTTTCAGATGTAATTTGATTTCCCATTAAAAGATGACAGTGCTGGCAGTGTTAATTACAATGTGTGTAATTAAAGCCTAGGAAATAAGAGCAGGGCCACACAGATTAAATGGTCTGTCTGCCAGGAAGTGAAATTGCAGAAGCACCAAATGGAGCCTGTTATTCTGTGCCCTGCTCACAGAGGAGACCTGACAAGCATGAGAGAGCAGCTTGCACAGACATTAACAACACGTGAGTTGCAGAACATACCTTTCTGGGAAATGGGTGTAAGCCCTCTCTATTGTATCTGATACCTAGGAGGCTTCCTTCAGGAATCCTATTTGGCTTTGAGGTTATGGAAGTGAGAGGGAGACAACAATTTTGTGACTAAGCAAATTCTTCCTATGCAATTGTCTGCTAATTTTTGTAAATGTGAAGTTTATTTGTGGTTTTACATTTGACCTTCTAAATTGTAATTTCCTCCCCACCCTCAATCCTCTAGACATTATTAGGATACAAATATATAGGATATTTCGAACCTGAGCAATCTTTAAGGAAGTTTGTAAGTGCATTTAAGTATATCTTGTATTTTGTAGGTCATTAAGAACATGTACTGGAACACATTTTAGTTCAGTTACTATCTTTCATGACATGAACGAAGCAGCAATTATGTTTTGCTCTATAAAAGCCAGGAGGAAAAGGTTCATTGGTCTGATTGTTATCAGTGTCATGAGTGGATATCATGCTGGGACAAACCAAAGGGGGGTTGGTTATGGTTCTGAAACCTGAGGGAAACTGTGCAAACAAACAATGAAATGGGTTCAAGTGGAAGACTCCAAGGATCTTAGATGCTTGTTGGATTGGAAGAGGAATTTTTTTTTAAATATGGGGAAAAAAACTGGTAACATTCAATATATGAAAATATAATATTCTTAAAGTGTATACAAATATTGAAAATAGTTCTCAAATATTAGTGTAATTAATATTATGCCAATTAAGATTCACTTAAAAGTTCTCCCAGCCGAGACTGGTTTGGCTCAGTGGATAGAACGTCAGCTGTGGATTTTAAGGTCCTAGGTTTGATTCTGGTCAAGGGCATGTACCATGGTTGTGGGGATATCCCCAGTAGGAGGTATGCAGGAGGCAGCTGATCGATGTCTCTCTCTCTCATCAATGTTTCTAAATCCCTCTCCCTCTCCTTTCTTCTCTACTGTAAAAATTCAATAAAATATATTTAAAAAAAAAAGTTCTCCCAGAGGGAAGGGTATCAGTGATAGAGGACAAATAATGGTGTAGTCCAGGACCTTGTGTAAAGTCAGCGACTTGTACGCCCTTCTCCCTGCAAAATAGGATCAATTCAGTACTGTCCTCCTTTGAGACTTCTCATCTCTTACCATCGCTGAGAAGCAGAGGCTTCCATACTGTGTGACCTCTTATGAACATAGGCTTTAGCGCTTCTTCAAATCTGCCTCTTTGCCGTTTCTATGTCCACTTTGAATAAAACATCTTCTTTACCTCCGCCTTTCCTCTAATGTAATGATATTGTTGTTCTGCCCATCAAGATTTTCCTTATAAAACATTCCCTTTTCTTCAGGGTTCTGCCGGATTATTTAGAACTCAAAGGTAGACTTCTTTCCAGCCATCTCCCAAATAGGCTGTGCTATTTTTATGAAGAGAAGGATGGAAAGAATTTCCAGGGAGCATACGGTTAGAGGTCTGGGTTTAAATGAATGTTAATCTATAAGGTTAGAGATTGCATGCCCTGAATTAGTGCAGGAAAGGTTTATGCCATGTGCATGAGGGCACAACATGTGTTTTACTACATCTTAAAAATAGATTTACTCCAGGGAAATTTTTCAGTACTTCCTAAGTTTAGAATCATAATGCTTTTAAGCATATTTAATCATTTGACTAATTTGTAAATTGAAAGGGAGAGATTTATAGACTGGCAGCAGAATGGTGGTTGTCTTGGCAACTATCCAGAATGTAGAACAATGAGCAGTGTAGTAATATTTGGCTGGAAAAGAAAATAGGAGAATTAGCAGGAGCTGTCTTCCAATGTGTGAGTGACTGCCATGTAAAAGATCATGTCAAATTGTTCAGTTGGTTTCAGAGCCCCTGGGACGCTGGGTGGAAGTTAAAAGGAGGAAAATTATTTCCATCCTTAGAGATGTTTTTACATTTAGATTGATCTACTATCAGAAGGATAATCTTGTACTGGGAAGGAGGAAACCTCTTGGAGGTTTCAGGCCAGGCCATCAGGTCGTCTCCAGAGTGAGATATAAGTGAGCTCATTCATTGGCTAAAGGATAAGGCAGGAGAGTCTCTGAAATCCCTATCCTATAATTATAAGTGTTAGACGGTGCATTTGGTGTGCATTTTTTTTTTTAAATTTGGCATGATTACTGTGGAAGAAAATTAATAGGTTTAATATCTACCTACACTCTATTTTTTATTTAAATATATTTTATTGATTTTTCACAGAGAGGAAGAGAGAGGGATAGACAGTTAGAAACATCGATGAGAGAGAACCATCAATCAACTGCCTCTTGTACACCCGCTATGGGGATGTGCCCGCAACCAAGGTACATGCCCATGACCAGAATCAAACCTGGGACCTTTCAGTCCTCAGGCCGATGCTCTATCCACTGAGCCAAACCAGTTTCAGCATCTACAGACTATAGATATGCATTTTGAGTTTTTATATGACAGTTTCCATAGTGGAATTTAATGTATGCCATTTTTTAACTTCAATTTTCCTTCTCTTTTTCTTTTACTTCCATCAGCTTTCTGTTCCTCCCCTTCCTTCCATTTACTTTGCCCCCTCTTAATCCATTCATTAGAATTTCTTCTTTTCTTCATTTCTTCTTTCCTTATTTCTTATTAAATTTTCTCATCATTGGACATCTCATTGAGCCTAAATTAAACAGAATGAAAGCTGTTTTCTCTACTCTCTCGCCATGTTATAATTATCCAGACACATTAGCTTCAAATAGCCACTGGCCTTGGAAGTTTTGCATGGCCACATACTAATGGCTCAGTGGCATCTCTGCACCAAATGACAGTTGTGGTTGTGAAAGGGTGGCATCTGTCAGTCTGGAGGAGCTGTTTGTCCCATGGGCTTTATGCACATTGTCAGTTTGGCCTATGATGTTTCTGGAACTCTAGTGTCACATGTGGGTGTAGAAAGTGGAGACATAATTAAAAATAAAGCTATCCAATGCTGTAAGTCTTGGCCGATGAGTATAGTAGAATAAAAGACTTAAACAGGTATTTCCTTGGCCAGATTGCATGTCCTCTGCCTCTGTGCCTCCTTCCCAGTGGCCTTGCTGCTGCCCCTTGGCCATCATGTGCTAGGAAAAGGAGCTACTGACAATCCCCTCAAAGCTGGAGAAGCTGGTAGCTAAGATGAACATGGAAGGGAGCTTCACCTTCTGAAGAAGCAGAACAGCTGCCAGATGTGCACCAGTTACTCAGACAACCGGGATTGGTGTCCCTATTAATGGGCTAAGCACAGTCAGATAAGCAGGTGGCGTCCTTGGCCACAGTCCTCATCAAAAACTGGAAGTTGCTAGTGGACACCCCTGGGCTCCCCAAAGAAGAAAAGGAAAGGAAAGAGAAGAAGTCAAGAAGAAAGAAAATGGGTTTAACTCTTTCAATTGGAAGTCAGAAGCAGGCCTTTCTCTTCCAAGGAAAAAACAAGGGGAAGGCCCAAAGACATCAATGGAAGAATAAACTGGCACATTGGAAGTGGAGACCCCGCAAAATACCCAGCAGCCCCTTGAGCTCCACCTGTGCTCCCTCCATCTGCCTCCTGGCACCCTGCTCTCTCACGGGGGAATCTGTCTGGACAGTGTGTGAAGATGCTCTCTGAGGTCTTGATGGCAACTAAGGAATCACTGTCAAGATGGCATCAGAAATCAAAGATGATATCTAACAGGAACTCAAGAGCTGAGACATGAAGTACTGAACTATGTGCATAGCAGAATTAGCAATCTCAAGGACCCCAGGGATCCCTGCAGCGGGCCATGCTTTGTGAGGCCATCTCTGCCAGCCTCTTTACCAAGATAACAGCAGAGGAAAGGTCAGTGGTGAGCTGGGGGAATTGAAGATCGCCATGACTCAGGGGGCTCTCTGTGAGCAAGAGGTGGCCAATACAGGCAGCACCTACACTGACCTCTTCCCATGCAGCAGAAGCAGGAAGAACTGTACTTGTAAGCAGGTGCAGCACAGCATCGATGAGCCCATGACTACCTTTGCCTTAAGCAAGGAGTGTGGCAACCTTTGGATGTTCCCCTGATAGAACTGCCAGGCAGGGTTTCAATGAACAAGGTGAGGAAGAACCAAGAAAAAGCACTAAGCCATTGTAACTGAAGAAAAAAATAAAAATTAAAATAAAGAAGGTTAAAAAGATGTTATTCCTATTAGAAAAGGTTTCCATACTATTATCTTATCTCAGACTCCAAATATGTACTTGATTCATAGTCAAGTTTGTCTCAACTATTCTGAGTACACTTAGAAGCAGGTAATTATAAAAATAACTAGGGTCGAAATAAGGTCATATTTTTAAATTAAGCTCAGTTACATGGAGTAGAATAGACTGAATTTCCAAATGACTCTCTTATTTTGCAGTGATTAAGGTCATAGACCTAAAAAGTATTACTGCATTATCTCCACACTTGTAATATTACATTTGTTTCTATTCACATTTTATTTGTAGAAAGAAGAATTATACTTTTTAGATGATAATCAGTTGGAATTTCCTATCATTTTACTTTCAAGGAAAATAATTTCTATTATTTAAATATGTGCATAATTATTCTCAAGACAGTAAATTACAAGAATAATAAGTGAATTATTGTGTTACTTCTCCAGGTGAAGACCCTGAAACAAGAAGAATGAGAACAGTGAAAAACATAGCAGACCTGAGGCAGAATTTAGAAGAGACTATGTCCAGTCTTCGTGGGACCCAGATAAGCCACAGGTTTTTTTCTCAATTCCGCATATTTTGGGGCCAGTAAAGAACAAAAATTACTATCAGACACTTAACTTCTTATAAAGAAAGAAGGGATCTAAGTTTTCCTTTACTATTTTCTCACTCAAATTTTACATGACAACCAAAGGGTTACTTCTCAGCATATACATGGGGACTGTTTTTCTCCTATCCACCTTTTTTTTTTTTCAGTGTAATTTCCCATTCAAACTTATTTCACTACTGAGACTACCACCATCACTTTGAAGTAGACTTTTATGCCTACAGAAGTTGCTGTTGAAATACATTTGAGAAATAGTGGTAGAGACACTTTCAAACATCATTGTAGCTAATTTCCAGAATAGGGTAAATTCAAGGTTTGTTGAGAAGGTGGAACAATTTGTTTGCTAGTTTTTTTTTTTTTTTTATATAAAAATCTAATGATGTTCTTTCTCTTGAAAGCAAATATGCAAAAAAACAAAACAAAACAAAACAAAACTGCAAATGAATGCCCTTTCCCTCAATTTAATATCTAAAGAGGTTTTTAGAATCTCATTATGAATGTATAATTTGGCTTTCCTGAAAATAACATTCTGCTAAGAAATGACTCTAAATCTTGTCTGGTCTTTCCTATCTTTTGCCTTCATGGTCACTGGCTCCATGTGAATCACAGTAGCACTGTTTCTCCATTTTATTTGACAGCACCCTGGAGACAACATTTGACAGCACTGTGACCACGGAAGTGAATGGAAGGACCATACCCAACTTGACAAGCCGTCCCACCCCCATGACCTGGAGGCTGGGCCAGGCTTGTCCCCGACTTCAAGCTGGGGATGCTCCCTCCCTGGGCGCCGGCTATCCTCGCAGTGGTACCAGTCGGTTCATCCACACAGATCCCTCCAGGTTCATGTACACAACGCCTCTGCGTCGAGCTGCTGTCTCTCGGCTGGGAAACATGTCACAAATTGACATGAGTGAGAAAGCAAGCAGTGACCTGGACATGTCCTCTGAAGTCGATGTGGGTGGATATATGAGTGACGGGGATATCCTTGGGAAAAGTCTCAGGGCAGATGACATCAACAGTGGGTAAGTGCCCCTGGTCCTGCTCTCCAACAGAACTATGGGAAAATGAAAAGTCGTCTACTCAGATGCACTGGTTATAAAAAGAGCACATAATTTAGTTCACAAAGTCATTAGAAAATGTGAGAAATCTAAGGTGTTGAGGTATTCAGGTCCTCTCTTCTGCTCATTTGTGAAAAGTAAACTATCTAAAATTTCTATAAAATATTTTCATTACAAGCCATTACATTTTTCTATTCTTGGTTCAAGAAACATGTGCCCTGTGTTTTTCAGAGTGATCTTTCACATGCTTCTTAAATAAGAGATATTGTAGAGAAGGACAAGGGAAGGAGACAGGACTTTCACTGAGCTGCTTGATTTTCAGGGGCTTGTCAAAGCTTCCTTTGCCTGTGGTTCACATATTTTCCAGCGCTCTTAAATTCTGTGACTCCAATCTAACTTGAGGGAAAATCATTTTAGAGTTTTATGTTTCCATCTATTTGTTGTGATGATATCAGATTTGCTTCTTTGTCTTAATCCCTGTTTTCCTCATCTTTCCTAATAGATTTCCCCCAAAAAATGATGTGATTATAAAACTTTTAAAGTATTTTGGCAATTTGAAATATTTAGTTCAATCTGCGATGAGCCTCAATGGAGGCAATAGATAGTTCTATTAATAGAACTTTTATTAACAATTGTAATTGCCCTTTTGAATACTGCCTGTTACCTGTTACACTGTTGTTAAAGATACTGATTCATTTAACCTTTCACTACCAGCCCTTAGGAGGTATTTTTGAACATGCTTGTTTTACAGAGAGGGAAATTGATCCTAGTCAGACCTAATTGTTTATGCTAAGGAAAGACAAGACTGGTGTGTGACTTCAAGACCCAGCCTCTATTAATGCAAGGAAAAGCTTCCCAGTTAACCTTACTATATTTTTTCATGTGAATCTGGATTTTGACCTATCCTTTGTCCTTATACATCTGAGAGGACTGGTGTCAGAAATCATTTTTGTACATGACTGACCCTTCCTGACTTCATTCCTGAAAGCTTGTTTGAAGGTTGACAAGACCTGAAAAGTACAAAAGAGATGAAATCAGATTCATAGCTCTGTTCTGATATCCTGACAGCTGCCAGTCCTTTCCAGGTAGCCGCCTGACATGAGTTTCTAAAGATTTACAATTAGGGAGACAAATTATGGTCAATTAAGGTAGGAAGTAATTGAGTTGCTACTGGAGTCAGGGTTCCTAATTTAAATCCCTTTCTAGAATTTCCTCTCTGTGGACTCCTTTGTAGGTTAGTTTATCCAAATTTATTGTTGTCACCTGTAAAAAGGATAACAATGCAGAACTTCCACAAAATTATTTGGAATGAAGGAAATAACCTACAGAATTGTACATAGCACAAACCTTGTCACAACATAAGTGATCAATAAGTTTATTATCATCAGAATTACATTTATAATCATTAATAATTATAATAAATGACTATTTAAAATCACCTAGAAGGAAATATCCAGTTCAGGGAACAGGATGGCAACATAAGGATAAGGCATGAACTTTCCTCTATATCTCCCCTCTTTCTTCTCCATTCTTTCTTCTCTTCCTCCCACATCCTCCTCTCTTTCCTTTCTCTCTTTCTTTATATGGAGGCATATATGTGTACTACTTTTTATACTCACCACTGGATGAAGATCTAATTGTATACATAAATATACACATATATAATCCACATATATATACATATATCTAAATACATACATATGTGGTGAGTCTCATTATGTGTGTAATTATGTTCTATAAAGTCCACACAAACACTGAATTAGTGAATGCTGAATCACTCCCCTAGGGGAAATACAAATTTAGTTTCCTTTGAGCCTTTGGCCATAACATTTTCATCAATGGATCAATAGATAGTCTTGTTCCATGTATATTTCAGTTGAAAGAAACATTATATATTATTTAATACACATCTGTTGATTCATTAACATTGAGCTCACGCCAACAGCAGTGTAACTCATACCTGAATGAAGCTGAAGTAAAACATATTTTTCCATAACACATATCATAGCCTTCTTACACACAAGACAGCTTTTCAGTGCTACATTTAAGGGACCATTTTAAATAGCAAAATCTCCAATAGAGGCACAAAAATGTGAAAAAAGTGGCTCTATTTAGACTGTGAAAAGGACGCTTCTATTTTTGCAGTAGGAGAGCTGCAACAAGAAGGCAGAACATCACCTTTTTCAACCTCCGTTGGCAATGTCCACATGGGCAGCTCAGACTTCTGCTCTGAGCATGTCCGTGAGGGACATGGAAGAGCTGCAAGTACTGATTTGGGGGCTACACATTTTGGTCAGAAGCCAAATTCACAAATGTAGAATTGGTGGGTAATGGGGGTTGACTGTGTTTATTTACACACAGAGAACATGCTTATCTGGAGAGAGGAGGGAGCAGTTTAACTCAGACGTCAAGAGACATCCACAGTGCAATGTGTAATTTCAAAGGTTCATGCAGATAAAATTTGAGCTCAGAGTTCAGAATAAGTAGAAAACACTAAATCCTGGTATGAAATAGAATGGAGTGAATAAGAAGAGGAAACACTTTAGTTCTGTTCCTAGAGAGATTAAAATAGCTAGAGAGGAGAGAGGTATATTAAGATAAAATTTATATGAAAAGTCTAAGTATTGCAGAAATATGTCATTTGGCCATCTTGACTAAACTATAATTTTCAAGCAGAGAGACAATTGGATTAGATGACATTCAATTACTTTTCCCTTGACTGAGATTTATAGAATCTGAATATTTAAAGATAAGATTTGAGAGATGGGAACTATTGTGACAGGCCTCACAGTAATATGAATCTGAGAGGTCTAACGTATGTACTATACACAATGGAAAGCACTGTGTCTTAGAGAAGATTACCTGATAATAACAGAATATGAAGATGATGGTGGTTTTTAAAGACCAGTTTAGGGAAATCTGCAAAATGGATTGAGGGAAGAAACTATGGGTATAGATTTCAGGCACTGTTACAAGAATTTGGGTCCAAGTTATAAGGCCAGAAATATGGTATAAAAGGGGGGAGGGATTGATACAGGAGGTATCACAAAGGAAAATTTTACAAACACAATGATGGGTGGCTCATGAGGGTATACTAGTAAGAGAGAAAGATAATTCAGATAAGATGCCCATTTTATAATCATAAGAAGTAGAAAATGATACCATTAGAGAAAATAGGCACAGATAGAACTTGTATTTTTATTTTGGTGAGAAAGCAAAGAGAGATGATAAGTACAGAGTTAAAATTGCAGAGTTGGAAATAAGGGTGTTACCAGACTGAAAGGTCCATTTGCTTGAGCACATCAAAGCCCAATAAGATATGAACAGAAGTTTGCAGCCAAAAAAAAACAAACAAACAAACAAAAAAAAAAACACACACACATTAAGGAGATGGCACTAGGCCTGGAGTCACAGGTAGCTCGTGCTAAAAAACCTGGCTTCTTGATGGTTTCTGGAGATGGGTTTTTATGGGGAAAATCATTAATCATGGTGACTAACAGAGTTAGGGTGGTGGTGTCTACTGACTGGTTGGTGCTAGGGTAGGGGTAATTGGTGATTGCATTTGGTCCTGATATCAGCCATAGAGATGCTCTGTCCAACTTCACAAGGGTTTGTTCTGTGGGATTGTTCCACTTTGCTTGTTCTGGAGCTAAAACACAACTGAGGCCAAGATATTATGTTTAGTTTGACTGAAAACTCTGTCCCAATAGTTAGTAGACCCAAGACCTTGTTTGTAAGACTACTGGATGCTGACCAGAACCTCATTGTCTGGAGGGAGTGGGAGGTGGGTGAGTCAGGAGATGGGTGAGTGGTCTTACCTGTGAGGCCAGTTTGAGTTAAAGGGAGGAAAAAAATCAAAGTAAAAAAGCCAGATTAAAGAAAATAAGGTTTCTGCATGGTTATAGGGGGATAAAGCAAAAGTAACTTAAAACAAAACTAGTGTCCAGGGTAGAGATATAATGGAGGGTGTGATCTCATATAGTAGATGGTAGAAATTATGGGAGACTTGAAGACTTCTCAGAAAAGAATAGGGAGGGTAGAGGGATAATGAGCTTATGTGTGTATGTATGAATATACAGAGTATCCCAAAAAGTGTATACACACTTTTAATAGCTGATAGTTCAATTTTGAAAATGAAATGCATTTTAATAAACACTGCCTTTATAATTATTCAAAGTATGTGTACATTTTTTGGGACATCCTACATGTATTGAAATTTTTTCTTGAGTTCATCCTATGAATCAAGCAACATTTTAGGCTTTGTGTGTGCAGTGCTTGATAATTAGACACAGGGCCTTCCCTAGTGTTTTTATATGTACTAAGTCAGTAAATGAATAGTAAAATATAGACATGTATATGTGTGTATACATTCTTAGGTAAGCAGTCTCTTAAATAACTACTCTCTGTATATAATAATGTATTTATAGGCATACCTATGCTCAGAAGAATTTTATAAGACTCTTAGTTAACATTAAATTCTGTAATAGAGAAATCTCAAAATCTCAGTAACTTCACACGAAGTTCATTTCTCCTTCATATAAAACCCTCACTGGTGTTTCTGACCTTCAGTTGGGGAATGTGCACTGTATAGTCTTTCATAGACTGTAAATATTTCTCCCTTTGCTGCATCCAGCGAAGCTAGAGAGTGGGTCCAGTTCCTGAGTAGGGATGGCTGAGGATTGAATAAAATGAAAGAAACAGACCCAAAGATACAAGGAAAAAGCTGGGACTCGGTGGGACCGCTGCCCTCTTCTGATGGAGAGACAGGGACCCAGATCTGATGCAGCAGCGTGTTTATTTTATACCCCCAACTAAGGAGCTTTCCTATTCCTTCCTGGTGCTTGGCTGGATTTACGTAATAAAACCCACCCCCCTGGCACCCGGGCTGAAATGAAGGTCCAGCTGATAACACTTCTGCCTTTTGGCAGAATGTGTTTCCAGGGCATGGCTTTGCCTGCTGCCCT